TATGAAATAGACACCACAGGAGAAGTCACTGCCAACTGAGCTGAGCAGCACCAGCTTGTTGTCACCGGCAGCAGCCATGTTCAGAGCACCTGGACTTCTGCCATTACCTCTGGATTCTCTTCTCTGATGCTTTTGTGGATTACAAAACATGGGTGAGGCCATCTTGCTTCAGAACAATAGCTCTGTACATGTCCCGTGTATGTACTCCGTTTGCCTCACACTGAAATGTAACTACTTGTCAAAAGGCTGGTCTCTTCTGTCATCAATACACTTCCTTTCCCTGGCTGTCACTCCTGTAATAGACGTCCGCGTGTCCATCGGCTGTTAGCACAACTATGAACAGAGATGCACCGCTGGCCACAGCCTGGCACCTGAGCAGTTGAGGGATGCATTCGGGGCCTGTTCCTCATCCTGGCTCGCTCGGCACCAAGGCCCAATAAAACTCCCATTAGTTCCACTGCTGCCGCTTCTGACGCCACCTTGTCCTCTAGACCCTGTTTCAGGAGGTCGTTTCCCAGGGCTCACACTGGGAAAGCCGTCCTGCTCTTAATGGTCCTCGTGGGACAAGGATCTTGGTACTTGACTCTGCAAGGTCCATGTTCTTCCTGCTGGACAGAATGGGTCTGTGTTTTTCGTAAACTTCTGGTTGGTCACCAGCCACAGTTTTGGGACTCGTGGACCTTGCTGACCACTAACTAGCGCCTCAGGGGAGTCTCGGAGAAGCGGATGTTGGCAGACCTGGAAATCCACTTACTGACATTGTTGGGTGAGGTCCCACTGGTTCCAGTCAGCGCGCTCTTTCTGCTTCTCCGTGGCACCTGAAGTCATGGTTGATCTCACTGTTCACCCAGTGCTGCTCGGGCTCCCACGTGTCGTCCTCACTGTTAAAGCCTTTCACCGCGCCAGGTACTCAGCTTTCCAAACTTCCTTTTCCCCTTTGTTTACAATCTTTTCAAACTGCACAGCACCTGGGAGGCCTCTGTGGCTGCGCTTCCAGCTGGTGCTCGCCACCAGGCGGCGCTTCCTGACCTGCGCAGCAGGGCTGTGCGCAGAAGCAGCTACGCATGCGCATGCACTGTGGCCGCCCGTGTTCCCTGCCCTGCAGCCTGCTGGGACTGACGATAGAAAGGCTGGGTGGGCTGGAGTTCAGAGTTTTAAAGAGTTCCAAAAAATGAAGAGAAGCATACAAGTAAGCTTCATCAGGGAGACATATTTTGATAGAAGAGCCTTCTGAGGCTGCCTAAAATTATCCTTCTTGGTATCCACTACTCAGACTCCATTACTAACTAGAAGAATAAAGCATTGATTGAAATGCCCTTTTGCAGTTTTACAAGGGAGAAGCGAAGGACTCTCAAAGGAAAGCGTTTAACTTTGAAACAGTCTTCAGAAGTCAAAGTATGGTTTATTACTCCGCTGGGTGAACCCAGAAATACAAATGCTTCTTTTAACTTAAATCCAAAACTACCCTTGAACACAAAATCCTTTGTCATGTGGAAGTGACTCCACAAATACCCTTTTAGTACTAATTATATTTTTTAATTTTTAATTGGAGGATGGGAATGAACATCAAATATACGATATAAACCCATATTGCAGAGATGAAAATGAGAATATAATGGAAAGGAGCCTGTAAGTTTCATACTAAAGTTCATCTTCTCAGCCGGGGATTTAGCTCAGCGGCTCGGTGGCCTGCCTTGCAAACGGAAGGACCCGAGTTCAATCCCCGGTACCAAAAAAAAAAAAAAAGTTCATTTTCTCAATTCAACCTTCCAGATAACACACATACACACACGGGCACACACATACACCAGAACAGAAAAAAACAGTTCCTCAAACAGCATAACAGTATCCTCTTAAAATGTAACCATATATCATCTAAAAATTTTGGAATAATATTGATAATTAAAATGCTTCATGTCATTATTGGTGAAATAAGCTAGAAGTAGCTATGACTGACTTTTTGTTTTGATTGACCGTGCATTTTTTTCTGCCTTATCCCGAGTATAAAAATGAAGGGGAAAAGAACTGTTTACTATTTGCATTTGTTTGATTGACATAATTAAAGTAGATAGTCTTCTCTGGGTAATTATAAATTTTGCCTTCCCCAGATGAAAATGCATACCTTTCTGGTCATGATTTTTAAAAAGGCTTTAGCATTTTACTGTGTTGTGATAGTTGTAAGAGTCAACAAATTCACCCTGCTTTTCAGCCAACTACCTTAATATTTCAGAGCTCAGACCAACTGTTTGCAGAAATTTCAGACTATACCTAACCCTAGGTGAACTTTTTTGCAGCATTAAAAGATTCCATTTTCTTTTAATTTTCAAAATTTATATGAGGAAAAGGTGCTACCTAGACTATTATTACACAAGAAAGTCTTCTTAGTTGTGCTGTCTATACTCCAAACAAACAAACAAACAAAAAATTCAACTGACTTTTTTTCCTTTTAATTCAAAAATTAATTCCCATTTCTGAGCTAAGTAGACTTTGTATACCAGATTCTGGTTCACTACTAGCTTAAGATTTATCTTCTGAAAGAAAGCAACGGTTTCCTTTTTAAAAGTTGATTATGAATAGGGTTTTTTAGAGTAATGTAACATATTGAACAAACTTAATTTCACTTAAAAAAAAAAGATAAGCTCACAAGAATAGGAAGGACAGGAGGTAACACAATGGCAGCTAAATTTTAAAAGCTGTAAAGCAGGTGAACAAGTAGTAATTGAATTACTAGATCCAAGAAAGTTCATTTTAAATAACCAATAGGAAAAGCCAAGAATGATACAATAGATTCCCCAGAATGCCTAGCAACTAGCAGTACCAGTTTATCAAGAACTGGAGATTTAAGATGGATATGCAGATAGAAACCTAAAATAAGAAGTATTATATAAGAACTACTTGAAAAATGAATACTTAGATGTCATCTCTTGCTTCACTTCATTTAAATTACCAGAATCTTGTTTTAATTGAAACATCTTTATACTGAGCTGAAACAAACGGAACCATCTCCCAATAAGGAATACCTGTAAAAACTTCCACTGGTTAGCTCGCAAGCCCATAGAAAAACAAAGGTAAAAGTAAGTACCAAAATTATCAGGATCTTAGCACAGCCTGATAATGTATAAAACCTGTACCAACCCATTTAGAACCCAAATGCTTCATTGCAAACCTCCAAAAAACTCGAACTCTGAAGTTCATTGAGAATAAACAGATTCAGAACTTCGAAAAGGATCTATGTGAAGGCAACTGAAAATTGTCTTCAGAATTCTTTTACATTTCTAACATTAAGCAAGACTCTCTTAGTAAATTGACAGAAAATCAAATGGATCATCTTATAGGTATTTTAGTACTCATCATAATAAACATGCACACTACTCAAAGTTCTCAGATACAGAGAACTGTGCTTTTAATGTCACAAGACCTTTCAATAAGAAATACTGAAGTGTAAATTTCCATCAGATATTGATCAAGTAATTTCATTATAAATGATAATGTATGGGGATAGTTCCATGTTAAAAATCATGTTAGAGGGGCTGGGGATTTAGCTCAGTGGTTCAGTGGCCTGCCTTGCAAGCGCAAGGACCCGAGTTCAATCCCTAGTACCAAAATAAATAAATAAGTAAATGAAAATCATGTTAGAAATCTGAACTTCCACCCCTTGGAAACATATAATTAGTCAAGCTATATTAGGAACAACTCTAGAAAATTATTTTTTACTACCAAAATTATTTTCAGTCTGTTCTGAAAAAACAACCCATTCTTTATCAAGTTAATTATCTTAACTAAGTCTTGATTAAGGGCAGTTACCTCAAATGAGCAAGGTGATACCTTCACATTTAGTCACTCCAAAAGAATAGACTTATAATTTTCTTTAGAATGTTTTCAAAATTCCATGACAGCATTTTCATAATAAATAGCAAATATGAAGCAGGTATCCAGAAAAGTTACTCCAAAATCACCATTCACCTCTGTTCCATCTCCCTTAAGAACAGCTAAGAATAATTTCTCTGATCTCTCTTGGGTCCATCATTAGCATTTAATCCAAAGGACAGAGACTATCGAGACTGAAAAGTGAATGATGCTGACCAAGATCTTATATGTTACCACTTTTGAATATGAATCATATACAGCTAAAATCTAGGGTTTTTCTAATGCTACATTCAACCTTGAGTCTACAAAGAATAAATCTGTCAGAGTCCAAAAGCACTCTGAAATCTATATTTAAACAACACAGTTTTTGACGGAGTTGATTTTAAGAAAACGACAGTAGAATATCCTATTCTCTGAAACATGCATGATTTCATTCTGTCATTGTGAGAGACCTCCTAAAGCAGCATTGGTCTGTGTTGACAATAGTCATAACAAGTCAGCACTAATAATGTATTTCATTTGGCAAAATACTACAACTTCTGAAATGAAAATTTTAAGTAGCCCAAAAGAAAGCAACATGGTGGCATTTTTTTAAATAATTCATCAGAGTGCATGAAGATGAAGTAATACTTAAAATAATTCACTCACCAAGAGGACTGTGATGTGTATGGAAAATTCAGTATCGTACTAGTTCCACCTTAACATTCTTAATTCTGAGTTCATTTGCTTTCTTTCTTATACAGCACAAAGCCCTAAGAGCTACTTGCTAATTAACATTCTCATAGATTGTAAAACAAAAAAATTATACATATGTGTGTATGTGCCCAAAACTCATAACACATTTTTAAATCTTTTTTAAAAATTACATAAGAAAAACATGTGCCTTGCAAAAAGCTTTAAAGGCAATTAATACTACTTAATTTTTACTTTTTTGCCTTAGTGCCTACAAAGCTTCTAGAACTAAAATGAGTACCCCTAAATCATAATGATATCAGTTGCTCAATATTATTTCTACCTGTATTCTTTCTTTATTCCTTTAATCTTTAATTATCCAAATTTACATTGTCTTAAAATTTTAAGACCAATTCCAAATAAATCACAGATAATTTAAATAGTTTCTAGATACTGCCAACCTTGTAACTGCTTCTTAGTTCTCACATATGCCTATCTTCATTGGTCATTGAAAGAATTCTAGAATGAGAATATTCCTTTGTGATGTACTAGACAATAATTTGCTGTTACTATCATACCATCTCCAGTAATTTGAGCTGTTTATTCCAGACAGAATACAGGTACAGCCTAAGCTCCCTTTTGAGAAATACCCAGTCTAATCAGAACACAGTAAAACACCTCACGGTAGAACAGCTCTACTTTTAACTTAAAGATGACTGATGAGATGAGCATTCCTCATTTCTCATTTCTTAAAATATTTATTGTGTACCAATGTAAAAACCACAGTTAAAATCACAGCATGATTAAAACAAAAGTATTTGTAAATGTATAAAAGCATCAGATCACGTCAGAAAAACTTGACCATTCTCTGTGGTATACTAAACTGAAATGCCAAACTATCAAATATTTGCAGTGCCAATCTAGAAAATTGAAGAAGCATTGCAGCCATCTCTGACTGGCTTAAACTTATGAACTGTTAGCTCAGCTTAACTGAGTGTGGTGATAAATAGACTAACTACTGTGACTGGAACCTCATTTAATAAACACACTGTGATGTCTTCCAGAAAATGCCCCATTGGTCACTCTCCTCTCTTTCCTGTAACGTATTATAAGGTAGGAATATGCAACCAGGGATGCTTTTACCACAATCATCAACACCAAAACCACCACCCTTGAGGATGTGTGGCACTGCCTGGAGACATTTTTGTGGCGAGTGGAAATAGTAGTGCTCTTGGCATACAGGGAGTAGAGGCCAGGGATAATGTTGAACAGCTTAAAATGCACAGGACAGCCCTAGACAACAAAAACTCATCTCATCCAAAAAGACAATAGAGTAGAGATTTAGAACTCTGCTACAGTGACCAACACCTCACAGTGTCGAATAATGAGCTAAGCCTCAGGTTGCAATAAAGGAGTAAGGAATGCTTGGGCTGACACATAACCGCTCAAATAGTCAATTTAACTTTGGAATTGATTCTACATTTTGGCACTTAAGAGACCATAGTCATTAATCTCTCATTGTGGTCTCTTCCTTTCATCTGCCATTCCAAAGCAATGCTGTATGAGTCCTCTTCTGATTAAAATTAAGAATAATTTTTAATAAAGTTCTTCAGGGTCATATGTCTATTTCAAACAAAAGTTTAAAGAAAAGCAAAACAATACATTTTATAAACTACTATTTCTTCAATATCCTCTTTTTAAAGCATTTAACTTTTTACTCCCCAAATACAATTGATTGTGCACTACTAATTTTCGTGTTGTTAGTAGAGTTCTGACAGTTCTTTGAAAACACAAACCTTTTCAAGAAGAGAGGTGCTCTAAAATGCAAATCAGATACTCTCACTATAATAAAATTGCAGCATCACAATAAAAATATCAGAAATTGAAGTTCTCAGATCAGATGCCTTTGATGAAATATGAAATAGCTAAAACAACTTTAAGCTATGCTTCAAATTTATATGCTTCCAAGCTATTCAAATATAAAACTAGCACTAACAAATGGGCAACCTTGTCCACTGCAAGGCTAATAAATCAAAATCACCAAGGTAATTTAACTGCATTTTCAGTGGGTACAGATTTATCATCAAAGGCCTGATAACCATGCAACCACTAGAAAAAGCAATGTATTCTCTCTGACCTTGGTCACAATCATCAATAACACTAACTTGTAACTTTTCAATATTATGTCATTCTGAGACACATGAAAAAAAGATTTCAAGAATTTGGGACTTCTGAATGAAAATGTATGCATTTATCTGGGGACCTTTTTTGTTTTGTTTTTTGAGATAGGGTCTCATTATGTAGTTGAGACTGACGTGGAACTCACTATGTAGCCCAGACTGGCCTCCAACTCAGCGATCCTCCTGCCTCAGCCTCCCAAGTGCTGGGATTATAGGCATGTGTCACCATGCCCTGCTGATTTAGATTTTTTTTTTTTTTTGGCTGGGACTTTTGACACTACAATTTAGCAAGAAAACTGTAAATATATGATATCTACAGAACAAAGCAGTGGATAAGAAAACTTTAAAAGGCAAGACTTAAATGATTGGAGATCTTTCTGAAAATGCAAAGCTGGCTAGAAACCTGGATTGGTCCAAATGCAGCCTCTGAGTTTTCACCTTTTAACAATTATTCTATCTCTTCTTTCTGGCAATTTCTCAATCCACCCCATCAAACTGGTAATTAAGCAAGAAGAAATATAACAAGGTTGTAATAAACTTAGAGAAGCTTTCAAACATTCTGTTCTATAAATAGATCCATTTTGCTCTTTGCCAGTTGGGAAAGGCTTGACTGCGACAGCCACAAATGATTCCAAAAAGGGAAATAGTTAAAGACACTGATTAACTTTTTAGACTTTTCAAAAATTATTGGGAAGTAGAGCAAATCCCTTAAAGAATGCATGATATAGTAAATAACTTGTTAAAACAATAATCACGAAGTAAAAGTATGGTTACCAAACTTCCATCTTGGCATTTAAGTGCTTTGAAACTTGGCTCTCAACTTTCAAATAAAAGAGAAATGATAAAATAATTTTTTTTTTTGGTACCAGCAATCAAACTCAGGACCTTGAGCTTGTGAGGCAGGTGACAGAACCACTGAGCTAAATCCCTGGCCCCTATAAAATAATTTTTTAATGTTTAGGTACCATTTGTCCTTAGACAAAAGACCAAGTACCCACAGAATAAAATGTTGAAAAGTTTCACTATTTAAAGAATTTCATCAAAAGCCTGAATTCAAATCCTGACCAGGATTCTCCCTGGATATGCAACTTTAAACTTACTATAGACTCAGAGTCTCTGGTTTTCTTTTCTTGTTGGCGTTTCTTTGATAGATTGATACTTAGTTTGGTTTTATGTCATAAAACACAGAATCTAAACTCTATCTTCCAGCAAGTTTATGTGGGATCAAGTATGTTAAGAGCCTAAAACATATGGTATGCAAGAAAGTTAGCTCTGATGAAACCTTCAATAAAGGTATCTATAATAGATGATAAAGACCAAAAACAGAGGGCCAGGCACCCCACATACCTTGCTAACCATGTACTCTGAAGAAAGTCCAGAGACTAACCACGATCATGCTTCCTGACTGCTGGGTGAGAAATGAGTTTGTTGGAAAACTCAAGATTTTAATAATAAATAGCAGCTAATATATCAGACACAACAACCCAGTTGCGATGGTTCTCCTATTATCCCTTAGTATTCTCATTCTATGTGGAGGAACCAGAGATCAAAGATACTAAGGAGTTTTTCCAGGTTATAGCCAGCAAATGACAGGCATGGAGCTTGGTGGTGTATGAGAACCAAAACAAGCTCAAGAAGTAATGGGCATAGAGTGGGTTCTCCCCGTAATGAGTCCTGTATTTTGAAATAGTATGGAGACTAGAATAATTCTCAAAGGAGGCTAAATTATGAAGTCATCCTCTGATCCATTTCAAATATAAATATTAATTGAGGAAAACGAAAATTCCAGAAGCATCTATAGATAGTGAAGATCAGAAGATTAAAGGATAATTTCAAACAAAAACAAAACAATGCATTATAAAATAAATACAACTGGGAAAATAGCCCTCCATTTGGGAGACATCCTGCTTTGTACCATAACACACAAGAAATAAACCCACAGGAAATAAAATTTTATGAATAAATATCCAATAGCACAGTTTTTAAATTAGAATATTTATCTTGAGACAGTTCTAAACATGACCTAAAATCCAGAAATCATACAGAAACATATTTAAAGATTTGACATTTAAAATAACTTCTGCTTGAAAAAAATAGTCCTGTAAGCAAAGTTAAAAGAAGAAATCATTAAAACATATTTGCAATATATATGATAAAGGATTAGTAAGTTTAATCACTATCAAATATATTTAAATCAATCTTTTAAAAAGAACACCATGATTTTTGTTTTTGTATTTTTAAAAACCAGAACCCAGAGCCAGGTATGGCCACACACTTTTAAACCCAGCTACTCAGGAGGCTGAGGCAGCAGGATCACAAGTTCAAGGCCAGCATGGGTAACTTAGTAAGACCTTGAATACAAATAAATTTCTTTAAAAGGAGTGAAAAAAAAAAAGGAGTGAGAATAGAGCTCAGTGATATGGTCCTTGCCTAGCACAGTGGAGCCCTGCGGTTCAATCTCCAGCAATGAAAAATAAAAAGATAAAGTACACAGACATGATTCATAAAATAAGTGTGAATAGCCAGTGACTAAAATGAAAATGTTCAAGCTCCTTAATGATCAAAAAATAACAAAACAAAAATCTGATGATTTTTACCTGTTAAAAAATTAATCTGTTAATGCCCATAGCTAGAATGGGTGGAGCACTTCATGGTTGGAAAATATAAATTGGTACAATTTTTCTGAAAAGAAATCTGACAATTTATATCAAGTTCAAAATATATGTACCTTGCAACACAGTAATTCTGCGAGGAATGTTTCTAAGGAACTAATCTAACAAGCATTCATTGAGCTGTTACCAAGGTACTAAAGGGAAAATTACTTAAAACAATGAAATCTTTTAAACAACATAAGTATCCCTCAATTTATTGGTCAAATTATGTTTCCATTTTATGGAATACAATTAATTTGTTCATAAAAAGGAGATGGTTATTTCTCCATGATATATTATTTGATTTAACGTTTAGGGCATAATTATTTATAGCGTAATACTATATTACAACTTCATAATGTGATCTCCATGCTACATTTTTAAGTGAAAATGTATAACTAAAAGAACTTGAAAAAATATGTCAAAGTTAACACAATTGTCTATAAATATTTTTGTTTCTTTTGTTTTCTAGTTCCTAATTTTTCTTTAGTAAATGCATTTTGCCCCTATAATTATTTGAACTTCTTATGTAATTATTTTAAAAATTTAGATTAAAATATGTCTTTTTAATAGGTTCATAAGCATTAATTACAAAAACAAATCTGTTTTTATACAAGAATATTGTTCTGGAGCTAGGGATTTAGCTCAGTGTTGCCACAGCCTGCCACGT